AAACATTTTAAAGTTACTTCTTACAAAATGGTATTACATCATAAATATCTCAATAATGGCAACTAGGTAAACCGTAATATTAAACTTACATTTTGTATAAAAAGTTGGTGTAATCTACCTAAATTCTCAGATGAAAAAAAATTATAGACCAACATTTAATTTTAGTTAATTTTAGTTTCTTAAAACCCTTTCCGACACGGCGCGTACACTGTAGTGCACATTGATTTCAAATACTACCTAGTAATAGACTTTTTCCAAATAAATTTACTGCAAGTCATGTGGTACACGGTAGTGTTGTATTTTAAATTTCGTCCAGAAGACATCGCATCATAATAATTAAGGTATTCGTTGTACTGTGTTGTGTGATGCTACCATTTACACAACAAATATTTTCAGGTATGTGTTTAACCTTCAATTTATTTTGAGTGTAACTTAAGTTTATTGTTTGTTTGTTGGTGGATTGTGATTTGAGGTAAGTAATGAATTGTTGGTATCTTGGAAAAGTCGTAAACTTTTGATAGTATGAAGGTTTACAACTATGTACACTACAGTGTACATCATAACTGACAGGCGCGCTTGGTAAAAACCTATGGTAAAAACCTTTAAATGCAAAGAATCAATCTAACATTCTCAATGGAAACGATTTTGAGTTGCAGTGTAGTGCCAGTCAATCGGAATTATGCTTTCTGTGGGGGGGTTGAGTGTCGCAAGCTGAATTGTTAGTGAATTGAAAACTAATATTTTGGAGATTCTAAAATCGAAGTTAATCCAAAATTAGACCATGCAGAAAGGCACTATTTTCACAAAACGAGCGTAACGTGTACTAAAATATGACCGCAAAATCAAAAGTCACTTTACTAGTTAGGTAAATGTATTATTTTAAACATTTAAAAAACCATTGGTGCTTACCCAGACAGCACACCAAATCCTTTGGATATCTGCTGGACATCTCAATATCTACTGAATGTCCAGTCCATAGTGGACATCTATTTTATATCCATGAGATGTAATGTATAATTAAGACTTATTAGGACTAGAATTATTTCCTTTTTAAGAATAGCCCTCCGGCTTTTATTCCACCTAGCCTCTGAACTAGGTACTACAGTGACCTTTGATTTTGCTTACTAAGTATAGATGGCGATACCACTTTCGCTCGTTGAATATCTACTCATGCTCAATCCGCCGTAATTGAGTTCGATCGAAATTGGTATTGCAATCAGACTCCATTAAAGACTGGAGTCGGTCCAAGAATGACTTTCTCCTTAGTGGGCAAAATCACAGGTAGAGTGTTGAAAATATTTTTTCTCTAGTATCTCTGCTATTTTCTTTCGACGTTATTTTCTTTATCTATAGGATATATCCATTGGTTACTTATGAACCTCTACTAAAGATACCCATAAAATATTTTGCTGAATATCCATAGAATATCTTCTATATCCTGGATATAGACGGACATTTGGATATCCATATTAGATCCACTGGATATCTATAATATCTTGTGGATATATCGGATATCCACAAAATATATTCTGTGGATATCTCTGGGATTTCTTGTATTGTCTGGGAGATACCCATTAGATATTTTGCTGGATATCCATAGGATATCTTCTATATTCTGGATATAGATGGACATTCGGATATCCATATTAGATCCACGGGATATTTCTGATATCCTGTGGATATATTATATATTCACAAAAGATATTCAGTGGATATCTCTGGGATTTGGTGTGTTGTCTGGGACATCTTTGTCAGATATGTTAGAATCTTCGAATTTATTTTTCTCAACGTGTCCGTACATAAACTGGTTACTGGGTACGTCCCAAAAAAATTAAAAATGCGATTTCCTCGGTTGTATCTTGAGAAAAAATTGCGAAAAATATTATACTTTTTATGTTAACATTATGAAATTAACTAAACAAGATTTTAAAACAAAAAAAGTTACTTTTTATAAAAGTTTCTAAAATGTGTTTGGATCATAACAAAACATCAACCATATTTATATGTCTTAAAATAATCAACTTATGTTAATTATTATAAAACAAATCAATTAACACGGCTGCCGCGAGTGATCTACACTCGGCTAACGGTGTTATCGCTTTGTATATTTTATCCAGCGTTGCCAGCAATTGGAAAATAAAAGTACACTGCAGTGATACTGAAAACGGCATTAACTGAAAATAAAAAGTACTGACAGTAGAGAGACAGTTGCACCTATTTAACGATTACGAAACATGGAATTAATCACAAAATGCACAAATCAGTTGTCATTGTCAAAAATTGTGCAACCTACATTGCGTTCGGTTTGCCACGTTCCTTTAACTCCTTTAACACTTTTAACTCCAAACGACTCTTTTAGCGTTCGGTTTAGTCCGATTAGTGACAGTTTTACACGCTTAAATGTCATTTAAAAGCACCCTAAAATTTGTCCCGCTCCAGCCCCTGACTGACCGAACTCGCCTTTTGCCACATACTTTGATTACTATGCGGTGCAAGAGAGAGGTCCGACACACCCAACATAGGGCGCGGCCATTTTGAACCCTATGACACAGTTTATAGCTAAAGAATCAGATTGCTCACTCTGCGTCGGCACTTTCTATCTCAATGTTCCAGTTTATACAGTGCGCAACTCAGATAATACAATATATGACAACAGCCTATAATAAAACAGGAGTCTTCTGCACATCCTGAATTTGTATCCCTGGAGTGGATGTTATTTTGGAACTTTCAACTGGTCCGAGTGAGCTAACTGATTCTTTAGCAATAATAAACTGTGACTCCAAAAATAATATTCACTGACAGTGACGCAGCAGCAAACAAAATATCAGGTGCCTTTTAATCATCCGCTTCTGCTTCCGGAATTGTCGGTTCAGTCGTTTTAACCTGTCAGATTAAAACAAGAAAACCGACAATTCCGAAGCAGAAGCGGATGATTAAAACTCTCCTATTAAAAATATTGTGCCACACATACTTTGATTTTCTTTTACTATACGGAGAATGGTCGCACTGCGCAGCTTTCTGAGTGCCTTTTAAAAGGAGATAGAAAACTCCGCCATTTTGAACCCTTATTACGTGTTGCCTAAATCTTGGCGCAATATTTTTAATAGGTTCGTTTTAATCATCCGCTTCTGCTTCGGAATTGTCGGTTTTCTTGTTTTAATCTGACAGGTTAGAACGACTGAACCGACAATTCCGGAAGCAGAAGCGGATGATTAAAACGCACCTGATATTTTGCTTGCTGCTGTCAGTGTCAATGAATATTATTTTTGGAATCACAGTTTATTGCTAAAGAATCAGTTAGCTCACTCGGACCAGTTGAAAGTTCCAAAATAACATCAATTCCAGGGATACAAATTCAGGATACGCAGAAGACTACTGTTTTATTATAGGCTGTTGTCATATATTGTATTATCTGAGTTGCGCAGTGTATTAACTGGAACATTGAGATAAAAAGTGCCGACGCAGAGTGAGCGATCTGATTCTTTAACTATAAACTGTGTCATAGGGTTCAAAATGGCCGCGCCCTATGTTGGGTGTGTCGGACCTCTCTCTTGCCCCGTATGGTAAAGAAAATCAAAGTATGTGTTGTGCCAAGATGCAGGCAACACGTAATAAGGGATCAAAATGGCGGAGTTTCTATTTCCTTTTAAAAGGCACTCAGAAAGCTGCGCAGTGCGACCATTCTCCGTATAGTAAAAGAAAATCAAAGTATGTGCCAGTAACGAAATAAAAATGTCTTTTTTGGTTTTTAAATCGAAAAACCGAAACATCGAGAAAAACAAAAATCGAGAATTGGAAAAATGGAAAACTCGAAAAATCAAAAAATCGAGAAATCGAAAATCGAAAATCGAAAATCGATAATCGAAAATCGAAAATCGAAAAATCAAAAAAATTTGACATTACGTTTAACAACATAAAAGAAAGCAGTAAATTGCGTTTCATTTTTTAAATAATTGAATACCGTTATTGAAAAGTGCCCAGATTTGTTGAGGGTAGTGATGTGCTCCTTTAAGGATAACGGGTAAAAACAGTTTTTTTTTTAATTTCCCGCAGGTAATGTCAAAAATCAGATCGGCAACACGCCACATGTTCCTTATTTTATTTATTACTATTGAAAAAAAAAGGCGTAGGGCAATCAAATACAATAATTTTTTGAAATATTGATGGAAAGAATGATAGTGAATCATTTTTTTAACTAAACACAATTTTATAAATAATCAAGTCAAAATTAGAAAAAGTCTTGTATGCAACACGTTACGAAATGTCGTTTTGTATAACTCGTTCATTTTGCGGTACCTCAGCTCGTCCCGCAAATATTTACTCGTTACACAAAATAAGGCATTTCGTAACTGGTTACATAAATAACTATTATACGTTTCTTATAAATGAACGTTTTTACAACTCTAGTTAAAACAAATTCTAACGAAAACGTTACTATTAGTTTCTACACTATTAAAAAATTGTATATCAGTTATAAAAATTTAGGTTATTTAACGTGTCGTGTGAAATATACCAACATTATATAACTTTGTGTGTTACTTGGGAAATGCTAAATAAATTCAAAATCCGAAATTCTAGCATTTCAACATAGCTAGAACCTTTTTTTGCGCCAAACTTTTACCCCTGAACCGTTACTTCCCAAATATACATTATGTATCCTATTCAAATCATCCGATAAACTATCGTGCGTATCATAATCGATACCTAAATCGTTTCTATGGTTTTTAGAAACGACGTTTTCCCAAGTTTTCGTCCTGTGATTCCAATACCACCCATCCAAATGTTTTACGGGTTTATGAACATGCTTATAGAAGCTCACGCTTTGCTGCTTTTTACTCCCACTCTTCACACTAATATACAACAAAAGCAAAGGGATCCACCAAGGAAACAACGCCAATACCTTAAAGAACCCAATTAGAAAAAACAACGCAATAGGAATTATATACAAGTACGGATTCCTTAAAAACCCCAATAATTGTCCTAAACCGTTCCACATGTACCCGACTGCTTCGAACAAGTGTTTTAAATCCGGGAAACGGAACCCGCCTCCATCTCCGTCACCCCCACTACCTCCGCTACCTCCAGAACCACCGGAACCAGCTGAAGCAGGATTAGCAGATTGTACAGCATTAGAACCACTTCCGGTTATTGGATCCGCGACTACTGGTTCGTCTTCTGCAGCTTCTACCGCTTCTGCTTCGCCTGTTTCAGGAATTGAATCATACGTGCTCGGTGTAGGAAATCTGTTTTGTCCAGAATTCTGATGGACATGTGAATTTATCACCAAATTAATATCGGAACAATCTTGACGTTGCTCTGGCAGCATAGAACTAGAAATATGTACAGAAGGGCACGGCGAATTCACCCCTTCGTCTGGCGCTATATCCATAGTGAACGTATTAAGAGGTCCAAAGTTAGATGAAGAAGAATCACTCTGATATGTATCTATGGGATTAACTGGCAACAAATCAGGGACGTCTGATATAGCGTACGGAGGTGAAAACGAACTGATTTCCGGCATCAAATTCAGTTCTGGTGCGGTGGGTAAATTTGAATCAGAAATTAGATTAGTGGCGGAACTTAGTTGGTTTAAAGCGACATCTGGGGATGCTGAAATGATATTGGGGTTAGGGTTGGGGAACGGTACGCCTTCTTCGTACCAGTTTTGTTTGATTTCCGACATGTCGGAAGCGTCCTTCCATTTCGTGACGACAGGACGAACAGTTGACTTTTTCGTTTTAGTTGAAACCGATACCTTTCTTTTAATAGGAATTTTTGTTGTTTTGTTTGTGGTTCTTAAAATAATACTTTTGGGGGTTGTCACGTGGGTTACTTTATTAATTTTATTAGTTTTAGTTTTGAATAATACTGTATAATTTTTACCGTTTTTTGAATGACTCACGGAAATGTAAGATGGTTTTTTATTATCGACATTTTTTGTCAAAGCAACTTTCGTAACGTTATTTTTATTTTTGATTATATTCGGTGTTTTAATAATTGTGAGTTTTTTGGTAGGTTTAATATATTTTGTATTATTGGCAGACAATGACGTTATACGAATTCGTTTGAAATCATCTAAAGCGGTGCGATAACGGTTGGTATAATTATAGTTGTTTTTAATGTTTAAGGATTTCGGAATGATTGTATTTACTTCTTCGAAGAAATTGTACCTGGCTGTAGTCATTTCTAAACACAAACAATTCCACGTGACGGCGAAGAGTATCAGAATGGAGAAGAGCAGGCCTGAAGACATCTTGAATCGCTGAAATCAAAATTATGATAATTTAATATAAATATTACTAAAAGTACCCCTTGAAGCAAGCTAAAGGGTTTAAAATATTTGTTGAGCAGAGGTATAGTACTAGCAAGAGATATAGTGTGACTTTAAAATCAGCCGGCAACATACAAAAAAATCTGATGTGTCCAACACATGACTTTCCTATCTAGTTATTATAGGCTTTTTCCGGTTATTTTGTACAACCTATTGCAGCATCTCTATAAATGTTTAGAGGATAAACTAAATATATACATTGTCCACATACATCTACCACGAAACATTTTTCTATAGATATTCATTGAAAACGAAAATACTGAAAAATTTAAATTTAGCACTTTTCCATTACGGTCCATTTTAGAACAATCATGTATAAACAAAAATTATAGAGATCGATATCGCAAACAACTTTTAGTTCAACAATTTTCATAAAAATCAGAATTTTGCACATTTTGTCAAATTTCTCGAATACGGACCATTTCAGGAAATTTTGACTTGAAACAAAAATTATAGATAATAATATTAGAAGTAACTTTTATTTGAACAATTTTCTTCTCCTGAGTTTTCTTCAAAATTCGAAATTTACACATTTTCTTAAATATCTCGAATACGGTCCATTTTAGAGAAATTATATATAGAATAAAAATTATAGAGAATCATATTACAAACAACTTTTATTTAAACAATATTTATAAAAAAATATTTTTTTTACATTTTGTCAAATTTCTCGAATACGGACCATTTTAGGAAAATTTTGTATAAAACAAAAATTATAGATAATTATATTAGAAGTAACTTTTATTTGAAAAATGTTCTTCTCCAAACGTCAATAACAGATATATTCCATAAAATATAAAAATGACCACCTATAAAGTACCCCCCAGATGTTCCGACTCTGCCCAAAATCTAATCAGTTTATTAGACGCTGGAATAAAGCTTAAGTTTAAAATTTGGTGTTTTTCGGTGTATCGGTTCATGAGTTATGCGACAGACACACACACACACACACACACACCACACACACCACACACACCACACACACACACCACACACACCACACACACCACACACACACACCACACACCACACACCACACACCACACACACACACACACACACACACACACACACACACACACACACACACACACACACACACACACACACACACACACACACACACACACACACACACACACACACACACACACACACACACACACACACACACACACACACACACACACACACACACACACACACACACACACACACACACACACACACACACACACACACACACACACACACACACACACACACACACACACACACACACACACACACACACACACACACACACACACACACACACACACACACACACACACACACACACACACACACACACACACACACACACACACACACACACACACACACACACACACACACACACACACACACACACACACACACACACACACACACACACACACACACACACACACACACACACACACACACACACACACACACACACACACACACACACACACACACACACACACACACACACACACACACACACACACACACACACACACACACACACACACACACACACACACACACACACACACACACACACACACACACACACACACACACACACACACACACACACACACACACACACACACACACACACACACACACACACACACACACACACACACACACACACACACACACACACACACACACACACACACACACACACACACACACACACACACACACACACACACACACACACACACACACACACACACACACACACACACACACACACACACACACACACACACACACACACACACACACACACACACACACACACACACACACACACACACACACACACACACACACACACACACACACACACACACACACACACACACACACACACACACACACACACACACACACACACACACACACACACACACACACACACACACACACACACACACACACACACACACACACACACACACACACACACACACACACACACACACACACACACACACACACACACACACACACACACACACACACACACACACACACACACACACACACACACACACACACACACACACACACACACACACACACACACACACACACACACACACACACACACACACACACACACACACACACACACACACACACACACACACACACACACACACACACACACACACACACACACACACACACACACACACACACACACACACACACACACACACACACACACACACACACACACACACACACACACACACACACACACACACACACACACACACACACACACACACACACACACACACACACACACACACACACACACACACACACACACACACACACACACACACACACACACACACACACACACACACACACACACACACACACACACACACACACACGACATAGATCATCACGAAAATATTCAAAACGGATTCAGGGGACCTCAAAACGTAAAAATCCGTCGAAAACTCGAGGTCGAAAAAAATCATGATTCCAATAGTTTCCTTATATCTGTATACAGATAGGAAAGTAAAAAGGTACTCTTGGTCATATGCTCTAAAGTCAACCGTTTTCGAGAAAAATCAAATTTTGTTTCATCAAGTACGTATATGACCATGTATTTCAACATTAAAATTTGATTTTTCTCGAAAACGGTCGACTTTAGAGCGTTTGACCAAGAGTACCTTTTTTGTGTAGAAAACATTGGCAGTTCAAATGGGCATCTCAAAACCGTAATTTTTCCAGTTTCGTAGAATTTTTTTTTTTCAATTTCAACACCCTGTATCTCGAAAATGGTGCATTTTAGAGGGTAAGTTAATAGAAATGTTTTTTCATATTTTTGGACGAGCTATCACGTCCTGAAGTCCTGCGCATATATTATGAAATACCCTGTATATGAATCCCTTTGTTGTGCCGAAAGAGAAAGAATATAAAGTTTCCTTAGTTTTTTTTTGTATGTTGCCGCCTGGCTTTAAAGCTTTAAAGTCACACTATATGTCTTGCTTGTACTATACTCTCTGACTATTTGGCCGGAATCATAAATGATGAAAGTAGCGTTGCCAAACGTACGAAAATGGATTTTTTATTTTCCAATTTAGACTAAATTTCTATTACATACACACGTTTAATACATGTTTTAGTAATATATTATTACATACGTATAATTGAAAATATTTTTAATTACAGGGTGATTCACAAATGTGTGATGGTAGTTTTTTGCAAAATCTCACTAATTCTACTGTGACGTCAGGGAAGCATATTTTCAAAAAGTATTACTAAATATGGTATTTTTGTATATTGCACAGTACACATTTCTTAGACTAGGTGTTTTGTAGTGGGAACCACATACAATTATTTTTTAAAAGGACTAATTCAAAACCCTGTACTTATTAACGAATTTTTGGTAAAAGTAATTCCTCTAAATTTCAAAATATACAAGGCGGCTTATTTATTGGAAGATATTTTATTTTAATAAAAGTTCAAAAACACCACGAACACCTTGTATTCTAAAATTTTCCAAGGCAAATGTAACTATTTTCTCAGTATATGATAATTTTAACATCGTTTTAAAATATATCATTTTAAATACGATATTATGACCAGTTTTCGAGATACAGTGCGTTAAAGTGGAGAATTGCTGATTTTAGTAATTTTTTCTTCAAACTGAAAAGCTAGATTGTCTTTGTGTAGAATATACCGGGTGTTCAAATTAAAGTGCTACAGTTAAATACCGCCGAAAATATGCATTTTAGAAAAAAAGTGTCAGACAAAAGTTTTATAGTTTGTTGGGGGAAACATTTTGGATAAATTCATTTTTTTATAGTAGAATTAGTGAGATTTTGCAAAAACTACCATCACACATTTGTGAATCACCCTGTAGTTAAAAATATTTTCAATTATACGTATGTAATAATATATTACTAAGAAATGTGTATTGTATAATCTTTTAGTTTTTTTTTTTGGCTAAATTCATTTTTTTTTATAGCTGACTATAATATGGCCATATCGAGGTGGACTTTGTTTTTTTTAAATGGGAATCCCATTTTTTTTACATATTCTTAAATATTTTTTTTATTGAACTTTTACTTTTTGAGTAACAGCTACTTGAAAAATTTGCTAGCTGAAAAAAAAGTTGGCCATATTATGTATAGCAATAAAAAACGATTTTAGCCAAAAATTTTTCCCCACAAAACTATAAAACTTTCGTCTGAAACGTTTTTTTAATAAAAGGCGGTATATAGCTGTAACACTTTAATTTGAAGACCCGGTATAAGTTTAATATAAGTTTTGGTGAGATGTTCATTCCGTTTAAAAAATGTGTTGCAAGGTGATTCACGAATAATTCACAATTTATTTTTGCAAACACTCAATATCTTTACAGTTGCGCCACAGAGAAATTATTTCATTGAGTTAATATCTACCCGTCCATAAATTGTTTTGAAATTAATAAAAAGAGGCCTTACATTTCTTTAGTGACTTCTGAGTAAGTTAATGTTACATTTGTATTTTAAAATATAAAGGATAATCTAACTATTTTATAATTACCTACCTACAAACTATATATACATTATTTTCCGATATTTGTGACAAGTTTTTATACACGGGACAATAAAGTTACAAAAATATAATGAATCACCCTGTAATAGTAAATATTTTTAACTGTCTCTTTTTATGGACATCTGACCAAAACTTATATTAAACATATATAAAGTCAATTTAGCTTTTCAGTTTGAAGAAAAAATAACCAAAATCAGCAGTTCTCCACTTTAACGCCCTGTATCTCGAATTTAAAATTCTCATCTCATAAAAAATCGGTAAAAGCATTATATACTAAAAAAATGGTTACATTTTACCAGAGAAATTTT